TGGGAATCTACGCCGTAGACACGGCATATCTTCAACTTCTTTAAAATATCTGAGATATCTACCCTTTCACGTCACTTATGAAAGAATAGTCGACTCAGGCCGTTGCAAAATGTTGAAAATGGAATAAGAATATCGGAACTTACGTTAACGTCGATAAGCTCAATGTCTCCCCTTGAACATCTTGAATGATTTTTGTGAATAGAGGACTGATAGAAATAATAATACAGATGTCAGAAAGTTTTCGCGTCCAATTTATCGTTCAGATTAGTGTGCGCTGTACCTACAGTAGTGTATATTTACGCACGATTGACTATGCTATGCTGTTATATGGTTAAAGAAATCTTGGCTCAGAAGCATCCTTATGTATAGTCTTCCGAGTTTGGTTTTCAGTTTGAGGAATCATGTAACGCAAGTCTTCAGGTCAATGAAATCATCGAAACACGATGAATCATAAAGCTACAGCTTATCGTAAGCTGGTTTGTGAAAATAAAATGAATAAATACGTTCGAGGACGAGTCCATAGCACGTCAGTTTGACCTAGTCCAAACAATCGGCTAAACTAACGAAAAATCCGGCGAGGCAAGAGAAGGAGAAAAGAAATTATTCTGGCCATAGAAGCGAGTTCCATCGTAAAAGCTGGTTTTCGATTATTTTTTCAGGGCGAAGAAGCAGCGGCAGTCGGGCTGAAGGAAGCGGCCGACCCTCGTCCATGGCAGTATAAGGCAGCAGCGGAGAGAACGGGAGAAGAGAAGAAAGAGAGGAAGTGAAAAAAATAAGGGGCCATGGGCGGCTGCCGAGGCGGAGCGAGCAGCGCTGAGTTGGCGCTCCTTCCGGGCGCCGGACGGCGGCGGCGGGCGGCGGGCGGCGGGCGGCGGACGGCGGGTGGCGGGCGGCGGGCGGCGTCGCCGGGGTTTACCTTGGCTCATTGTGCGCTCCAACTTGGCCCGACTTCGGCACGGACGCGGACGCGCGCCACGCAGATAGCAAAGGGATAAGGCGACAGCGAGCTTGCACGCGCCACGGAGATACAGCAGCGTCGCGCGCTGCTCTGACTCATGCCGGCGTCGCACGGGAAGGAAGGTGCTCCTCTCTGCCTCGCGCGGCCTGCCCGCGCCTCTATCTTTCTTTCTTGCCCGCGGCGACTGGTGATTGCCACTTTCCTGTACGCCTGGGCCACCCCTCGTCCCTCCCTCTCGACCACTCTTCCCTCTACCGCTCGCCTGTTCGCCCCGAAAGGCCCTTTCCACTGAGTCACTCGAGCGTCGATAAGTGCAAATCTTTAGCTGCTCCGCCCATGATTGATGACATCTCTGCTGCCTGCCTGCCTGCCTGCCTGCCTGCCTGCCTGCCTGCCTGCCTGCCTGCCTGCCTGCATCGTCTCTCATCCTCGTCGAATCCTAGGCAAGGGCCTACACGCCCGATTCGAACCACTCGCTGGATTAGCTAATCCACTAGTCGTCGACCAACGACGGACGATCGCATTTCTCCATTCAGTGGATATGATAGGCGACAGAGTCAGCAGCCAATTTCAATTGTACGTTGTGCGTAGTAAACGATCTATTGATCGAATTCGAGCTTCTGCTTCGAGAATCTGCCAAAGAAGATTAGAGACGGTCAGTGGTAACGCGGTCGATCGATCAGGCCAAACGTGCCGTTGAATCGAAACGAGTCGTGCGGAGGCGTCAGAGTTCGACGCCAGCTCACCTCCGAGAGAAAATCAGTGGCCAAGCGCAAAGGTAGCCTCTTGTGCGCGTAGCCCACATACCTACATCGGGTGCGCGTATCGGCGGCTCGGTACGGCCTGTCGACTCGTGCCTGGCCTTGACTCTCTGTCATCCCCCCGTCGACTTTCTCCCCGCGTCAACTGCAGGCCCGAGCGCCAAAAGACGCATCAGCGCGTGTATGCCGCATCAAATCTCGACTGGCTAATGCACAATCCCCCTACCTCGTCCTTCTGCCCCCTGCGCAGCACGTGTGCCTTCCACTTTTCCGGAAGCCCGTCCGAAAGTAGTCGTTCCACAGAGACTTTCTGGCAAATTTTAAGCAACTCGAGCTCTCAACGCTGCCTCTCTTGCCTTGCCAGATTTATTGCAATTTATAATCGATATTCGGCTTTTTTTCTTTTAGCCAAACTCTATTTCATTCACGTCGCTTTACTTTCTAGATTCTATTAAAAAGTTGTTTGTTTGAACGTTTATATTGACTTGGTTAGATTGTACGAAACGAGCAGGCGGTCGAAGATACATCTAACGACGCTTCTCGAAGAAAGTCTTGGCGACGATTGTCGGTGTAGCAAGTTACAGTGGTACGAGCGGAGAGAGCGCGCGTGCCATTGATCCTCGTTAACTTGACCGGACTGAAACCCATCGATCCGAAGCGAAGCGTTGGACGCGGCAAAAAGTGACGAGAGAGATGTGAAAGTAAGGTTGATACGGGAGAGCAAGCGAGCTAGGCACGGTTGGGCACCTATACACAGAAGAGCCCAGCGAATAGACGGTGGCGCTCAAGGGAGGTAAAGTCGAGATGAGTGTGTCGGATGGCGGACCCCTATATGACATCATCCCCCGCGCTGGCGTCAGGCAGGCAGGCAGGCAGGCAGGCAGGCATGCAGGCAAGCAGGCAGCAAGGCAGAGAGAAAGCAAGGCAGGCGGCCAGGGCAGGCTGCAAGCTCGCGAGCGAAGGAGCAGCCGAGTGGCGCGTTGCCGCGGCGACCCCCTCGTGCGAAGGTGGGCGCCCCTGCGACGCCAGCGCGACCCTCCCCAAGCCGTCGCAGCGCCGCTCCCTTCTGGCGCGCGCGCGTGTGCGCCACTCCGACGCCGCGTCGCCACCTCCCTTTACCTTTAATCTTTGTCAATGCGAGCGACTGGGACGCGAGCCGCGCGCACCAGCCAGGCCACGCCGCCGAGCGTTGTTTGCGCCCGACAACCGCCCACCGGCCGACTGGCCGCTGTCTCTCCACTTTTCGAGCGACTCGCACAAGGCTCCCGACGATTGCTCCGCCGGAGACAAGAAAGAAAGTCGCGCAGCCAGACGGGGGGACGTCGCGCCGACAAAAGGAAGCGTTCGGCCTGCGATCTCGCCAAATTGATCAACGAGCACGGCGCAGAGCGGCCCTGCGAATGGCAAGCTTGGCCGAGATTTTGCCGATAACGTGGCGACGACGGATCCGCCCTGCCCTCCTCCGCCGGCAAAGCCAACCTGGACCTCGACAAACTCGCGCTTCTCTGTTCGTTCGCGCGAGGCCGGCTCTGATTTGCGGCGGCGCAGATCGCTCTGGCCCACGTACAGTTTTATCACCACTCGTCGCTTACGTGCGGCCGCATAATTCATTCGGTCAGCCCAGTTCTCTCGACGCAACCCCGCGCGCATACGTGCGGACGCACGCCGTCTTGCTCGTTTGCTGCGCTCCACGCATTTGCACGGCATGTCGATGTCTCCCGGCCTTTCTTTCTTACGGCACCGAGCGGGAGCTTTTGTCGCGTTCGCCCCGATCGTCGTGGTAATGCCAATGCACAACTGCGAGCCACCTCGTCACTGGCAATAGAGCGAGGCACCGCTTCGTAAGAATGGCTAAATGAATTGCAGAGCGAAGGCAAGGAAATGGGAGAAGAGTGCACAGGTGGGTGGGGCTTACCAACCGGTTTCTTCACCTGGGCCACACCTACGCGCTCGAGCGCTATTCGCCTGCTTGCCTGCTGCACCTTTCCTACCTGCGCGCCCCAAGCCGACACCTGTCGAATGCGCGCCAACGCCGCCTACGTCGCGCTCACTGCCTATAGCCTACCTGCGATGGACTCTCTCCAGTCCAGAAAATGGCGCAGCCGAATTGCACCTTGCATTTCTTCTCGGCAATATCCACTTTCTTCGCAAAGTACCATTCGACAACAATTCAGTCATTTCTATAAAAACATTTTTATCGCACACTCTCAATTCATTTATGTAATTCCAATGGAACCTCACAATGCCACATTTCAATTAGCTTATGTCATGACAAAACCATTCGAGTCTGCCTAATTACGTTGTTGATTCTTTTAATTTACATGCCATACTAATGAAGTGGCATTCAAATTTCGCTCAAATTAAAACCTCATATTATTTCATGAAATCGACCATTCATTTGTTTAATTAATGTTCGACAATTATACGCAGTATAAGTATACCAACTAATACGTGTGTTTGAAAAACGAAAATAAACCTCAGGTACAATATCAAAAACAAATCATTTAATAGCAACTAGTCGATTTTGACTTTCGAGCTATGATCAAGTATTAGAATCGTTTATTCGGATTTTCACCGAGATTTCTTGGCCCCGAGTGTCTTTAATGAAAATTTACTGACGTTCGTAGGCCTCTTTTTATTTTCCAACTTGAAGTTTTGTTAAATTCATGAAATTTAATTAATTATTACCTGACTATTTTGGTAATATTTTTATTTTAGAAATATAAAAATTATAACGTGCAATTCAAGTTAGGTGTTGATATCAGTTGTTTGCATCGAATCTATTTGTTTCTTGAAAATATATCTTTACGTAAGGAGCCAATTGCGGGTGAATAAAAGATCCTTGCAATATACTTGTTTGATTAATTGTCTTCCAAAGTGATCTAAATATCAGCGTATACATAACATTTTCCTTCGTTTTATAAATATACTTTTCGCTGATTTTAGTCTAAAATGGAAGTAAATTTATCACCACTTTAAATATTTAAAATACAAAAAAAATGTTCTTTTTAATCAAAGCATCAATTTCTTTATTTCACCTGATGTTTCAAAGAAAAAAAAAGTTATCACAATTCGTAAAGATAAATAAAATATGAAGCAGGTTATAGACCTACCATTTCAACAAAGGACAAATGTTGGTGACATATATAAATAGAATATATGAATTTATGAATAACTATAAGATTATATCTAATTCTAACAATCAATTTGGCTTTTTATAAAATATAGGAATGAAAGATTATTGAAAAATTAACTTGTATTAAGCATAGATGTTGAACATATTTATGTATCTTCATATTCACGTAATCTTTACATTTATGATCTATAAAATAAAATATACGAATTACCTTTAGCCAGCAAGTAATTTTTGCTAATATGTGACAAGTGATTAACTTGCATTTCGTAATTGGAATATGAGAGAAAATATGTCAAACTCGTTTTGTCTAGAAGAAAGTAAATTAAAGTCGTTTGAGATATGTCGATTACTTATACTTTCTATTTACGATTTTTTTTCTTGAAAATGTATTTATTTTAATTAATAATATTGTACTAAATAAAGTGTAGAAAACTTATCAATGAGGATATGAATTCAAATAACAATTTTATTGATTTTATTGCAATATATAAAAAAGGTACTGAAATATCTTGCGCATTACTTTATCCATAATAAATTGTATAAAAATGGAAATATTATTCACGACAGATGCATATGAGTCAAAAATTAAAACTAGAAGAAATTCCCTATGTACAAAGACTTACTATAATAACATAAATTAAGTAAGTAAGCATATAATAGCGTACCATACACATATCAACGGTAAGCAAATCCACTTAAAATTTATAGAACATAAATGTTTTTATCGCATTTACAAAGATTCAATATCAGTTACACGTAAGAGTCGCGGGTTTATATCCAAAAATGAGGTCTTAAAACTGTCCCAGCAGCAGGCTCTTTTAATGTGTATTAAAATATAATACTATACAATTTTTGATCATTGGTCATAATTTTCAATAACAAATATCGCATTCATGAGTAAGCGATGCTTGGAAGTCTATTATAGCCTTATAGCCGAAACGTAAAAATATCAATTGCGATAACTAAATATAACAATATTATTAAGAAAAGCTTTCAATCTTTTAGTGGATTAAACTTCTACGGGTGATGAGCTTCTAATTGTAACGAGTCGAGGTGTAGCTATTAATCTAGGTGTTCCTCTAAGCAAGCGGGTTGCATTAGGATTTGCCGGTGTGCTAACAGCAAGCACTTTCTTTCTCAACGGTTTAATTGGTGTTTTCATTGACGTCTTCATTGGTGTTTTAGACTCTGTCCTCTTAGCTAATTCCTCAGGTAAAGCTGAACTTCTTAATTCATCTCTATCATCAAGATGTTCTTGGAAATTTCCATATGATGATACCGACAGCATTGTATCATTTTTGGACTTCCTCTTTTTCTTATTACTTAGCTTTGCTCTGCTACTTCCGTTCAATGCTCCTCCAGCCGTCTAAAATGTTATTACATCAACTTATTAATCACTAAATTCTTATTTAACATCTTGGTAATTTATGTTCACAAATGAACAATTTTATATAAAAAATACTTGTAATATTAATGATTCTAAATGAAAAATGAAAAGGTAATGATTGGTAAAAGAAAATTTTAAACATGAATAATGAAAATTTGTTGAACAATATTCTAAAACTCATGAACTCCAAATATCATATTTAATACGACAAAATCATGACTTGTAAGATTTGCGTAATCAATGTATTCAGTACGTTAATTTGATCGTATTTTCTTTCTACTCATTTACTTATGCAAAATTTCATTATCGATATAAGGCATCATGATAATTTATAAAAATCTGTTTTACCCCTGTGCATAATGTTATAAACGTCTTTTTATATCATTAAAATTTAGTATTAACAATTAATAGAACAATAATTAGTTAGTGTTAGTGTAATAACTAATTTTTAATATAATGAAAAAATCTAATAATGAGTGAAAATACTTACACGACTACTTCTTCTCACTTTATTGTGAAGAACTGTTGCTTTGTTTTTTTCAGTATGGATAACTCGTTTCTTACACTCACTAGTATTTGGAGAGACATCATAAGGCAACTTTCTTTTTGCTGCAGGAGTCGCTCGTGACATATTATTTCCGCCTGGGGTACGTAACAATCTGCTACTTGCTGGTGTAATTCGAAGCACACTTGCGCCAGGTGTTCGTTTTGAAGTACTTAAGGGCGTCTTTCTGACAGATCTATCTTTAGCTTGTTTCTAAAAATTAAAAACCAATTTATTCAAATACAAATGTTTTAACATATAGCATGCAAATTTAATTAAGATTTTCATTACCCTGGCTATTTTCATGTTTTCTTTTTCTATTTCATAATTTTCTCTTATGTGCTGAATAAATTCTCTCAATGGATAACCATTGATTAAAAAGGATTTTTTATTGACACGTTCATATTCATCTACCAGAGCATACAATTGGTTTTCTAATTTTGGAAGTTTCTTTTGTAAAAAAAATTAATAAATAATTATTGATTGCAATATATAATATAAAAAACATACCTAAAACGTGATTTTATTACCTTGTCTGCCGTTTTTCTTTCTTTCTCTTCTGCCAATAACTGGCCTCCTCTATTATGATAACGATCAGGATCATTAGCTCGTTGATCTAAATGTTTTAACTTTTCAAACTGAGCTTCCCATTCACTTAATGATTCGAAAATTTTTCTACAAAAAACAAATTTAACTCAATTGAAACAAACTAATATTACCATATTTTTTTGATTAAAAAATATTAATCTTACCTGTTTGAATTGTAATATTTACGTAAATTTTGGGCCTCTTCCTCGTGAAGTGTCAGCAAGTCTTCTGTAAATGTTTGACATTTCATAGCTGTGAATGATCGCTTCTGAAGATCACTGTATTTACAAAGTTGCCAAAGATTTTGAATTTCTTCTCTCACTTTATTAACATAATTAGCAATATTTTCACTCCTTTTTTGCCTGCATCGTTTTATTTCTGCATTGAGCTAATAAAGTATAGTAATCATCAATTCAACATTTTGTGAGATTTTTACAATTATAAATTTTATAAAGACTTACTGCACTTAGGGTGATCAAACTGTAACCTTGGTGAGCTTCAAAAAAGGCTTGCCGGTTTTTCATTGGTTCATCAAGATAATCCCATAATGAAATTAAAGTTTCTTTCTTTTCTTCTACCTGGGTTTTGGCTTGTTCAACTTGTTCTTTTAATCTATCTTTTAGATCTCTTACTTTTGTCATGTTAGTTGAAGAAAATATGAACTGATTATGATCCTGACAAATCATTCTTTCAAAATCAAGTGCTGGATTAATTTGAAGTTCCTCCATCATTTTCATTATAGAACGTCTAGTGTCTTTGAAAATTTCAGTCATTCGGTTCTACAAATAAAAAGTATTAAGATTTAATGATTTACAGCGAAATCATAAAATAAATCCACATTTAAAAATGTACCTTTTCAGTTTCTTGCTTTTTGAGATAAGCTTCAAACTCTTTTATTTCATCTGCTGTAGGAAGTTCAGAATGAAAACCATTTGGTTTAACTCCCAATTTTTTGCAAATTTCAATTTCCTAAATGCATGAAATATTCAGGTATATTTTAAAATTCATTTTTTTGGATAAATTTCCATACAAAGTTAATGAAAATTTACCTTTGTTAGCAATTCTTGTGTATACTGTAAGCGTTGCTCTTTTAAATGTTGTAAAGTCTCTACTTGTTTCTTCAAATGAAGTTCTAAATCCAATAATGAAAAATCATCATGACTGTCAGTTGCAAAATGTGTACCTAATTCCTGTATTTGACAAATAAATGAATGTTCATTTGAACTTAGTTAATGTTGTATGACTAAATTTTTTAAAATAAATATTAAATTCATATAAACCTTTGACAATTTTCGCGCAGTCTGTGCAAGTGATTTAACACTTTTAAGTAGACTTTTTTTTCTAAGTATAGATTCATCTACCATATCCTTCATCAAACTCTGTAAAATAAGGAAATATCACTTAAAATCCATAGCATACTTATTACAAATAAATACTTACCACGAGATGATTAAGAACTTGATCACCATAAGTTGACAAAATTTCATTTTTAATGCCTGTTTCTTCCCAAACATTAAATAATTCTGTTATTTGTTCATCACATATCGACTTAGCTTTCTCCACAACATAACTCCTAAAAAATATGTTTATATATTTATAATTTAATTAAATAGAAACCTTTATTGACATAATCCAGACTGACTTGAAGATCAGGAGGATTATAGAATTTACATAATTATAAAACAACGTAGTGCAGAATATAATACAAACTTATATTTTTAATGGATAAATAGAAATTTGTTATAAAACCACTGATAAAACTTTATATTTTATGAATAAAAAAAATCCATTTTTGTTATTTTTGATTGAAATAAAAATAATAAAGTTTTGAATTTAGTACATCTTACATTGTTTTAACAGAAACAGCCATTAAAGTACGGATATGTCAATATTGTACGCGGCACATCTGTTTTTGGTATTTTCAGCCCAGTGAAAAACGTATATTAATTGAAAATACTCAAATTCATTAGGTTATCGGTCTATATCAAACAAAATTACAGCAAAATAGATTAAACACTGTAAATGATTAATATTTAATATTCAAACAATTTTGAGCACAACTGAGAAATATGAATAGATTGCTCTTACGGTAGATGTAAACGTATATTTGCAGGTGGCGGTTGACAAACAGTACAGAAAGAAGTCAAACTTACCGCACTGAACTCATTTTGGTCGACGTTAAGATATTTTATCACGAGAAAAACATAAATAACACTGGCAATACTACAACGATATTTGACACACTAATTTATCAATATGTTGTAGATTAGGCGTTCAATTGTAATAATGTATCCCCGATGTGAAGCGTCTCGCATACACTTTAGCGCTTGGACTACACCTGGGGCTACACTATACGAAGCTATGAAGCCTCCGCTAACGTCTCTGTGCCTTTTGAATTTCAGGACTCCATCAGGATTGGTCGGTCTTATCTTGCTTCCCCTACCTAACCTTACACACTGACAGCACAAATCTTTACATGTGTATCTAACCACATTGATGTATGCAACTGCGTAAGAAACAGGTCGTGTGTTCATAAAAGCGAGCGCGAAACTATAAATTAATAATTTATTTTCTTTATTTTAAAAATCACTTATAAATATTAAAATATTTATAATACAAATGATTTAGAATGCCAATCCAAATCATGCCATCATAATCATGGTATATATGTACATAGTTGCAAATTCAATACTTATTAAAACAAAACTGAAATTAATTAAAAGTCCAATTTTGTAATTCAAATTTAATAATTTTAAATAGTTAGTGATTTCAGCGAGAAAAAAATATGATTCTACTGAGAAAAAATTTAAATAGACTTGAGGAATGGTAGAATTGCAATACAATCTTTAGCGGATCTTATTCGGATGATTTTAGGAACGAATAGTTTTTACCTGTTGCCGCCTGATTCCCGCGCATTTTCATGCGTTATTACAAAGCCTCCCCTTTGTGTGCATATCTTATAAAATCTTAATTTTTATTATACCGCTGTTCAGCTCATTTTTCAATTGTTAATTGTTTACACTTTTCGAAGCATATACGTGTATGCATTAATTGTATTTATACCACAGCTATATTTTGAAGAGTAAATTAGTTACTGTCTTCTGTTCTGTGTTCCTAAAGGTTTCTTTTTGTCAAATAAAAATGGTATGTATGTTGTATGAATTGTATGTATATAATTACAGAATTATTTTATGGGATATTTTTTTTGAAATGCTACAGAGTCAACCTAGTTCTCCACCAGTGTCTTCTGATAGACACGATACAATGACATCTCCTGCTCCTGATTTTGATGAACCATTTGAAGATGAAAGTCATCTACTTGGTGATGAACCTGATATCATTGATGAAGAAGATGGAGAAGAGTTATTTGGAGATAATATGGAAGCGTATGTATTATTGAGCACATTTATTGCATTAAAATCATTTATATTAATTAGCCATTGGCTGTTTTGTCTTGTTTTTCACAAGTTTAAAATACATTCCTATCATTTCATTGATGATTAGAGTTCAGCTGCTTCTTTAAAATGTTTTCAAAACTAATAATTTAAACCATTCACGTGTCTATTACAGAGACTATCGTCCTATGTCAGCTCTTGACAGATATGATCCTGACATGGTCGATGATGAAGAATATTCAGAATTATCACAAGGTGATCGTGCTGCTGCTGAAGCTGCAATGAGAAAAAGAGATCGCGCTGCTGGTATTATTAGACATGATCAAGATCTTCTTTATGGTATGTTATATTATTTTTCATAAGAAATGTTTATAGTAGACTGATTTCATAATTCTATCTTTTTATTATATACTGTCCTGTTGTATACTTAAATCATTACAACTTTACATTTTAGATGATAGTGATGATGAAGATCTATCTAGGAAACGTCGCATGGCAGAAAAAGCTGCTGCTGGAGAAGTTGAAGATTCTGAGGTACTTTGTGATTTTTATTCAATAAAATAAAACCATTCCATTGCAAGATTTTTAATTTTTTACATGCCTCTTTTTTAGATGACTGAATCTATTGAAAATTTGGAAGATACCAAAGGTTACACTGTGAAAGAATGGGTAACTATGCTTGGCCCTAGAAATGAAATTGCAAATAGATTCAAAAACTTTTTAAGAACTTACACTAATTCCACTGGTCATTATGTGTACAGAGAACGAATTCGTCGCATGTGTGAAAGTAACCAGGTAAATAAATTTTTCTGTCACATTATTTATTCTGAACTAAAAGGAATTTTTCTCTTTAAAATTTGTAGTCTAGTTTCACAGTGGAATTTGCAAATTTAGCTAGCAAAGAGCATGTACTTGCATATTTTCTGCCTGAGGCTCCATTCCAAATGTTGGAAATATTTGATGAAGTTGCTAAAAATTTTGTTTTGAATATTTTTCCTAGTTATGAAAGAGTTACTTCAGAAATACATGTAAGAATATCAGAATTACCACTTATAGAAGAATTACGAACTTTTAGGTGAGATTATTAATTTTTACGAATGACTGATGTTTTTATAAAGGTCTGCTAATGTCTTGAATTTTTTAGGAAACTGCATTTAAATCAACTTGTGAGAACATTGGGAGTTGTGACAGCTACAACAGGAGTTTTACCACAGTTGTCTATTGCAAAATATGATTGTAGTAAGTGTGGGTATATTTTGGGTCCTTATACTCAAACTCAAAGTCAAGAAATTAAACCTAATAAATGTCCCGAGTGTCAAAGTGTTGGACCATTTATGGTAAGTTTTTAAAACAATATTGTCTTAGTTAATTTCATAAAACGTAAACAAGCTATGAAAAAGTTATTTTTGATTGTAATTTTGTAATAAATCTAATAATGTGAAAGGTGAACATGGAAAAAACAATATATCGAAATTATCAAAAAATAACTATACAAGAATCTCCAGGAAGGATATCTGCTGGTCGCATTCCTCGTAGCAAAGATTGTATTCTTTTATCTGACCTTGTTGATCGGTGTAAACCAGGTGATGAAGTTGATGTTACTGCCATTTATACCAATAGTTATGATGGAGCTCTTAACACAGAAGAGGTAAATTTTTATTGATAATTGCATTTTTACAACTGTAAGTAGTTTTCATTTAAATATTTGTAATTGTAGGGATTCCCAGTATTTTCCACAGTTCTTTTGGCAAATCATTTGCATGTTAAGGATTCTAAAGAAATTGTAGATTCACTCACAGAAGAAGATATAAACCTCATTTTAAAACTAAGTGAAGATCCTCACATAGCAGATAGAATTGTTGCAAGTATTGCACCTTCAATTTATGGGCATAAGTTTATTAAAAGAGCACTTGCTCTTTCAATATTTGGTGGTGTAGCTAAAAATCCAGGTAAGATAATTATTAATGGGGTACAATTAAGAATAATTTTTTATAACATCTGAAATAGTATTTTATAAATTGATAAAAAATTTATAGGTATGAAACATAAAGTTAGAGGAGATATAAATATTCTTATGTGTGGAGACCCAGGGACAGCAAAGTCACAATTTCTTAAGTACACTGAAAAAATTGCTCCTCGAGCTATCTTCACGACAGGTCAAGGTGCATCTGCTGTTGGTCTTACTGCTTATGTAAGACGATCACCAATGACACAAGAATGGACCTTAGAAGCTGGTGCTTTAGTACTCGCTGATCATGGAATATGTCTCATTGATGAGTTTGATAAGGTTGAATTGATGACTTTGAAATTTTTTAAATTAGAAAAATTTGTGTGTTAACTATGTAAAATTATTTAATATGAAATTTTACTTCATCATTACAGATGAATGATCAAGACAGAACATCTATTCATGAGGCTATGGAGCAACAAAGTATTTCAATCTCCAAAGCAGGTATAGTTACCTCACTCAATGCAAGATGTGCTGTGATAGCTGCAGCTAATCCAATGGGGGGAAGATATGATGCTAGTGTAACATTTATTGATAATGTAAGATATACGTGTTTGTATATTTTTAATTTAACTTTTAATGAAAGCACATTACAAAATTTTAAATTGTAGGTAAATTTGTCAGAACCAATCACATCTCGATTTGATATCTTGTGTATTGTCAAAGATGAAGTTGACCCTATGCTAGACCGGCATTTAGCTAACTTTGTTGTTAATTCGCATATCAAACACCATCCTACGAATTCAGAAAAAATTGTGCCATCCCAATTGAAGGAATCTGCTGAAAAAAATCCTAACGATTTTGAACCTTTAGATCAAGAAGTTCTAAAAAAATATATAGTTTATGCAAAGCAGAATGTACATCCAAAACTCAATAATGTAGATCAAGATAAGATAGCACAATTATACAGTCAATTACGACAAGAGAGTTTAGTAAGTATATGCTGGATCGAATTCCTTGTCAAATTATATCGTAATTGATTGTAGAAGTTTCAAAGTCTCTGAGTATATTAAATTTCGTTTACTTATGTTGTTATCGTATGATTAGAATTGTAAATACTTCATTTTTTAGGCAACTGGAAGTCTTCCTATAACTGTTCGACACATTGAAAGTATTATTCGAATGGCTGAAGCCAATGCAAAAATGCATCTTCGAGAATTTGTAAAAGAAGTCGATATAAATTTAGCAATTCAAATGGAACTTGAGAGTTTTGTTGAAACACAAAAGTATTCTGTTATGAAATATATGCGCAATGTAAGTAATAAATTCACATAATTTATAAATAGTGTGATAGTTAAGATGGTGTTGGGTTAAGTGGAGGTAAAATGCACTCACCTTCAGTTTTTATTTGTTTTGACCTGTTGAAAGCAACTTCCAAGGGTGACATATCTCAAAGTTAATAGTTATTAAAATAAATATAAATGTTCAAGTTTCTACAAATTATTTACTTATTTATTTATCGTTATTTTATCGCGCACATCTTATGTCATAATACAAAAATATATAATTTGTTCGAATTCAAAAAGTGGTGAATATAACTAGTGATATTTAAATTAAGTAACAAAAATTACTACTTTTTAAATTGTAGATAGACCATCTTTGAAATTCGTGGTCAATAGATCAAAATATGTGAAAAACACTTGTTATCTGCTCATGCACTAAGTATTTGAATTAATAAAAACAGGGCATCATCATGTAATATATTATATTATTTTGCAGCAATTCCAAAAGTATTTAACATACGAAAAGAATCACAACGAATTATTGTACTTTGCACTTCGAGGTCTTGTATTAGATGCCATTGCATTCCAAAAGGTTATGCAAAAAAGTCACATTACTTCAGTTGAAGTTCCTGAAAAAGACTTGTTGGAAAGGGTAAGCTAAAAAAATTGTCAAAATATAACTGTTTATAGTAGAATTATAATTCATCTGCAAATGTTTTAGGCAAAACAGTTCAAAGTAGATAATCTGACATCATTCTATGAAAGTAATATATTTCGGTCAAATGATTTTATTTACGATTCAAAGCGAAAAGTTATCATTCAAACCCTGCCAGTCATCAATGAAGATTAGTATCAATTAAAAATTTTATAGTGTTTCATGTTATTAGCATTTTGTCTTTTATAGAACAAAAATCGACAGAACAAATCCATGTTGATTTTATACATTGATTCATATTTGTATTGTACATTTTATATGGATAATTTAAAAATTGCGATTTATTTTCTATTGTAAAACATTTTTTACGAATATAATGAATACTAGTTTTTAAATTTTCTAGACAAATTCACTTAAAACTATGTTTAATATATTGTATTTATTAAAAATTTTTTAAACGTACTTTTATTAAGAAAATCAGTTTACATTGAAAGCACGAATGAAAATTCTTTTTCATTGCATTGTAAAGTTTTTTTAATAAAGTTTGGTCATTAAGTTACAAAGACTATTTTTCTTTAGAAAATGATGCATGATTCTTAGAGTGTTAAAGTAAATAGAATGTTTTCAAGGATTACTTGATTTTTCGAAGTTAAGTGACATATTATTTTAATACTCATTTTTTTAGCCATATTGTTAGATAAGAAGTATATTTTATATTTAAAATGTATGTAAAATCGGAAAGTCTAACATATATCTAATTTAAAAAATTAAATACAGAATAGTTGTCAATAAATTTAGTATTATAAAAACGTTGATCTTGTGGACTGTACAATATAGCACATCACAAACAATTTTATATTTACAGTATCAATTAGCTGATCTCGAGAATAAAATCTAAATTTTGTAAAAATATGAAATTCCTCAGATATAAGAAAAGATATAGCCAATTCATACAAATTATAATTCTTAACTGGTTAAAAGTAATAATTATATAAAAATCATTAAATTATTGATGTCTTGCAAATGCATAAACAATAGGATTTCAAATTGGATGATACTTTAAACTTTTTTTTTAATGAAATAATAGCAGTTATCTATATTACAGTACATGATTTTTTCAAAATTTATGACTTGAATCATGTTATTTTTAGCAATGAATATGTAGTCATTATGTATGGAGTAAATAAGAAAAGTGGTTTAAAAAATGTCATCATTGCTTTTTCTTTTTTTTTGGGGAATTAGAGTTTTTTTTTCTAGAACCATCGGTGCTACTACTAGATTTACTACTGCTAGAATCACTACTACTGCTGGAACTGCTGCTAGAAACGCTGTCACTTGAGTCTGATTCACTATCAGAAGAACTGCTATCATTGCTATCGCTGTTACTGCTATCACTGCTGCTATCACTATTACTTGAATTGGATTCAGTATCTGTTTTAAACTTCTTACTAACAGGTTCATCAGAATTTCCATTTTGATTTTCCTCTCTAAATCACGAAATCAAAAATGTTTGAATTTTACATACAATAGCAAAATTTGAGTAAATTTTTATTACAAAATATTCTATTATTTGTTTTGAATTATAATAGAATTTATGGACATTATATTTGAAAACTTTTTTCCATTTTGAATTTTCAACTAATAAGATTTATTTATGGTAGCGCTTTCATAATATTATACTTACGAATTGATTGCTTTTGAATCCATTACTTTTTTAAGTTGAGTTGTTCTGGATGTACGATGAAGATATTTTCTTTTTCCTTTGCATTCATAACTCCAATGACCCATTTCCAAACATTTTTGACAGCGAACTTTGTCTAACGGGTACGGATCTCTAAAAATTACAGATATTTGACCAAATCAAAACTTTTTTCTAATTGATAATAAATTAATACTTAAAGTGAAGGAGAATCAATAAACTCATTAAGTAAATGATTACTTTTTATCATCACAGTATGTTTCTTAGTGAAAAGAGCGATAAATAATTATGTAAATCAGAATTTTTACCTGATATTTCAACTTATGTAGAATAAAAGTAAAACTAGGAAGACATTTTACCATTTACTTACGGTTTTTTTCCAAACTTGGAAGATATTTTATTAGAACTCATTGTTAAGAGTCGTTTCGAAGCATAACCTATATTTCAAAACAAGCCACCGCGAAGCGGTTGTTTAATATGTTCATAGTGCTATATATGTATACATTCGTATATACCGTGCAGCTATGTATATCTATAGATCATATGTATTATATGTGGTATAGTATGGATGGATAACACTATAGTTTAATCACAAGTCTTAGCATCATAAATCGTATGAACTACAAACGTATATATCTTTCACGATGATTTATATATCTATACTTACATGAAGTATGTTTGAAAATCGTAAGGAAATTCAACAATTACTAAATCATGGATAATCGTAACAATGGTGAAGTAGAACGAAATTCGCACGACTCTTTTTATCGTCGCCAAAATGAACTTGCACAAAAAAGTATTACGTTGCAAGTTTTACAGAATAATCTAACAGTTAATAAAGCACTTTGCGATGAAAGACAAATTTTATTGGAACAAGAAATAAAAATCTTAGTAATGATCTTCGAAACATTAAAATTTTCAGTTTTTGAGTACTGCAATTTATCCATATAAATTATTTCTATAGGATGAAATTCATTCAAAAGTGTGGAATTTACAAAATAAAATTTGTAATCAGATTTGGGATTTTTCGACGCGACACGATCAAAATGAAATAATACGCAACTATCCAGATTTATCATCAGAATTGCATGTGTATTGTGAATGTGAACGTAAAAGTGATGTATGTAAGTAACTAATACATTTCCAAAATTATCGAAAACATCTTGGTATAAACAGGTTGCACGGAGTATAAACTGAAAGATATTTTAATTATAATTCATTAATATAACGGCTCAATATAAATGAAAATTACATTTAAAGTACTATATGTAGGGCTTCCTTGAGTTTCAAACGCCAATTTTGTTGTAGTATTTGAAGATAACATTGATATGGAAAAGCTTATACTTGAAATTCGAAATCTTGAATCCAATTTAAAAAGTACAAATTGTGAATCGCTGTCAGCAGAATTGAATTTGGCTGAACGAGAACTGCAGATATGCGACAAAGACAGTCCAGAAATTGAAAGGTTATTATTTATATTATTATTAGTAAAAGTTTAAAGAAATATTCAATTGCTTGTTTTTTATTTTTATGGCACTTTTTAGTTTGAAAGAAAAAATAAAGGCCTGCGAAGAACGTATCTCTAGTTTGAGATTAAAATTAGGACTAGAATACAAAAGAATTGAAAACACTACTTTTGAATGTTTAAAAAATAATGTTGTGTCGAAAAGCAATTCTAGAAATGTAAAAGAAACAAGTAAATTTGATGATTTGCCATTATTGTGTGCTTCTGAAACGAATCATAAAGAATCAAAAAATATCAACAGTTTGAGTAACCGATTTGTACCTGATCAAGGAGGGTTCGTTACTGCTAATACATATTTAACTACAGCTGATAACCCTACATCGTTTATAAGCAGTACATCACACAACAAAGTTGTAATTGGTGCAGTTCCAAATGAAAAACCTTCTTCACTGATCGTAAATATATAATCAATTATCAAACTTATTTCGTAAAATTCACAATTGAATATATTTGATTAGTACAAATCAAACTTGAATACGCAACAGTATCATATATTATATTCATTATCATTATTACTATTTGCAAATTTTTAAATAACTACTTCGATATTATGATTCAGAAATTTATATGACTTTTACATAAATTTATTTTGAAAGTAAATTTTTCATTCCGCAGAACCATCCAAAAAAGACATTTGTTGTTAAAAGAAAAAGTAATATTACTCAAAGACGTTAACTAAAAGGACTTGTCTAGAAAAAGTGAGTACTTCAGGATTAAATAATTTGATGAATTTTACAATATATACGTATATTTAGAAATTTTATATAGTTTAATATATATATATATATATTTTTTTTTTTCGATATACATTGAAATACAATGATTTTCTTACAACATTACGTCTCATGAAATATACATACATGTTATATAATATTACTCTCTCGATACTATTTTTATTCAACAAGTTTTGTAACGAAAATAACGTTAGTTTTTTCATGTCGCTTTTATCGATTACATAATACGGATGCCGTCTTGACGGCATCTAATTCTTTTATACGCTAGTAATCGTAGCAGTACTTAGTAGTGACTGTTAAACAGTTTACAATGATTACTCCTTTCCACTTTACAACATACTGTCAAACTATCTTGTAGAAAGTAATCAGCTGTTTTTTTACATTACGTATGTGAAAACTTTGAATTGTTTTATGCACAGTGTAGACAAAGTATGCAATTTTTTCATACTTTTTATAATCTCGTTTATTACCATTTATCAAGAACTTTTGCAATAAGTGTGATATTCAACCAGTATTTTATAAAATAACTGGATGTCGTGAACTTTATTTGCAATGGTATGAGCAACTATTGATTGAACTATAAATATACATTTTTTCTTAGAATCGTTATGGAGAGGGTTTGCATCAAATATATATACACACACACGCGCATACATATATATATATATATATATATATTTCTTATACAACAGGCTTAAGCCAGAAATATTTTTTTATTGATTTTATTTAAAGAAACATTATAATTTTCATAGATTTTCATATATGATCAAATTAAATGATACCTACCAACATAACATGCAAATGTTAACTTTTAAATGTTCTCCTAATATTTAAATTATAAAAAAGATTTACATGATCAACTCGGCAATTATTTTTTGGATATCATTAGTATATAGTATCTTCTTCCATTGAAATCGGGCTTTTTTTTAAAACTGATATATACACATATCACGCTTTTAATTTAACTTCAATTCGACATGCAAAGAAAATCACTTTAATCTATTCGATTTGTTATAAAAAATAATTTATTAAAAGCAAAATGTGTTATAAAATTATGCAATTTACGTTTAGTAATTTTATATTTAACTTTTTATAAAAATTTATTGATAATTGATGATCTTGAATATTTAATTTCCCTAAGCAGACCATGCAAATGTTAAAATATAATATAATTAATAACTTTTGAGTGTATTTTAATATACAAAATAACAATGTTAAACCTTTGCAAACTGACCTTTGTACAATGAAAACTCAACACTTATTGCAAAAGCTCCTGTAGCAAATAGCGAATCATTAACTTGGACTTTTAAAGATTTTTTAGAGCTTCTATTTATGTAAAAAACTATTTGCAGTATTCCTTGAATTAAAAATATATATGTATAGAAAAATTGATTAGTAACAAAATATTTCCATTTTTTGCAGCTTTTTAAAGTGCAATTTTTTGGCGTTTATAATTTCATTACACATTTCACATCCAATAGAGGAGGCTAACAATTTAAAACTAAATTTATTTTTGTTGTAACATCAATTACAATTATTTATGTTTATTTACATAGAAATAATTCACAAAAAAATTCTTATTCAGATAATATGAAACGTATATTCAACACATAAAAAAATTTCATTCAATGTTAATCAAAAACTACTTACTTTAGCACTTATATCTCGATTTGAAAAATTATGAATAAATAATAACTTTTGAATTTAAAACGATATACACAATAACTTCTTGTTTTTAGTTTTTAATGACAATGTTACTTAATCTGTTCAAATTCGCGATTGAAACATTAATTTTGAATCCAATCATTATGAATCTATAATCTTATCTATACTAAAAATAATACTTTTGGTTTTTGAATTTTCATTTCGAATGTCACATAGTGAACCAACCTGGATATGGTATATTCATTACATTTTTAAAATATATTCCAATACCATTAATATTATCAAACAACTGATCACATGATACGAGGGTGGGTTAATAAGTTCTTAGAAAAATAATTATTTTATATAGATTTGTTTCTATTTTTCCAACATAATCTCCTTTTAGCTTGATACACTTTTCCAGACGTTCTTTGATTTTTTCTAAGCTATCAGAAAAATATAATTTTAAGAATTCCTTAAAATACTCATTTATTTGTGTCATAATTTCCTCATTCGACATGAATCGCTGTCCAGCAAGCCACTTTTTTATAGCTTTGGAAATAAAAAAAAAGTCACTGTAAGTTAAATCTGGTGAATACGATGGATTGATCACTAATTCGAATTTCAATTCCTGAATTTTGGCCATTGAAATTACGCAAATGTACACTTATCTTGATGAAACAGAATATTTTTCTTATTTAAAAGAGGACGATTTTCCTTTATTTCCTCATTTAACCGATCCAATAACGACGCACAATACTCTACGGTGATTGTTTATCCTTTTTCTAAATTGTTGATGAAGCTAATTACACGTACATCTCAAAAAAACAGCGGCCGTAACCTTGGCAAGTTAAACGTCTTTGCCTTCTTTGGAGTCGGTTCACCCTTACCAATCCATTGTTTTGACTGTTCCTTCGTCTCGAGAGTGTATAGTGGTGTGTTCATGTTTCGTCTACAATTATGAATCGTCGCAGAAAGTGGTCCGAATCATAGTAGATACGCGCAAAGAAAGCTCTAGCGGTGACCACACGACTGCATTTATTCTCCACTGCGAGCACATCTTGCCGACATTTTTCTCATGTCCATTGCTAAAACAAGGAGATTCAACCAGATTTAAAATCCAATCCGCTTTGAGTCTATTTCTGAATCCTACAAATGCCAATTTAAATTTATTAAAGTGGAATAGATCCGAATCTCCTTTAATATTTTTCTAGCCTGATTAATTATTAGAATATGTAAAATTAATTTCGAGATGAAAAAAACATTAAAGTGAATTTAGATTCATTCTACTTTAATAAATTTCAATCGTCATTTGTAGGATTCAGAAATAGACTCAAAGCGTATTGGATTTTCAATCCGATTGAATGTTCTTGTTTTAACAGGGCAATTTTTTATGCAAAATCGAAATAACAGTACTTTTTTATACTTCAGTCATTTCAACTATTTCACGTAATTTTATTCTCCGATCACTCAACACCATGTCGTGGATTTTGTCGATTTTTTGGAGGGTACTCACTTCTTCAGGAATACGATCGATGTTCATCTTTTGTTAATGTACAGGCACGTTTAAATTCATTTACCTAATTGTAAACAGTTGCAAACACATGGGCGGATACGTTATGAACTGCATCTAACTCAGCTTTGATTTATTTCGGTACAAGGCCTTTTAAATAGAAATGTTTTATTATTTTTTTTCATTGCTAATAATGAACAAAAGTTGTTTATTTTGATCGGCTATAAAAGCAAAATCACTTGATGGATCTGGCTCAAACTTTGGTAACACTCTAGTTAGAAGTGACACTTGCTGTAACAAGTTGTAACATCTTGCGCGCCATCTCTTGAGTTTTCTAAGGATTTATTAATCCACCCTCGTATTTCTCCCATTTGCTACAAATATAATAGTGTAATATGAAACAAGTATAATGCACGACTTAACAAAGATTATGTTTTACATTAACTCTAAAAATGTAACATTACTTTGTCAGAGAGACGAGTAATAAGTTAAGGATAAAGACATGTACTTGACATTTTTCGCATTACATATCTGATTTTCCTCGTCTATCGATTTTATAAACTATTTTTTTATAAACTGTTTTAAAACATAACACAAACATTCTAATTTTCGTAATGAAATAATATTTGAAATGGGACAAGTGTACTATATGTATATATAGCACATATTTACAAAAATGGATTATTTGAAGTAATTTTTAATGAAAATTGTCATCAATTTGTGCGCTGAATACATTTTTTTCCAATCAGTGGAATAAACTAAAAACAGTCATATAAGCAAAACGGTTCGTTCCAATATCATGAATAATTTTGAAAAATTGTACGATATACAGCTATATTAAAAACATTGATTTTTCAATTTATTAATCGTATTGCACAAATCAATAAATTGTTATATATTATACTCCAATAATTCTATACGAACCGATTTGATTGAGTTGAACCGAAAATTTAAAAATAAATTATTACGTATTGTATAATCCTTTTATTATTGATTCTTTAAAAATAATAGGTATGAATAACACTCATATTTTTTAAGTATCCCTAGATACGTGTGATGAATAGATAATTGATATAAAACATGAAAGTTTTATCTCATATGAATTATCATGCTTTTGTTCCATTTAAATATTGAATGATAAATTATTCAAACAAGAAAAGTAAGATAAAATAGTTTATTTACTATTTTATGCAATATAAATCATTTAGTCTTAATGAAATTGATTACATAGATTTGGCACAATCTAACTTGTGCTTAATTAAAAAAAATTTAATAAATAAATTGCTAGATAATTTGAATGATAAATTACAGAGCAATTTAATTAATTATATTCTACATGAGTGTTAATGGTGAACAATCAATTTCAATAAGTAAATGAAAATCATCACGTACATAAATGCAAAATTTAAATAAAATTGAGTATCTTTGACAGGAAATTAATCATAATTTTAGATAATCTTATTTCGAATTAAGTAATTGCAGAAATAATATTATTGTATATGCACAGTAATAAATTTCTGGCACTTAAGCCGTTCATGGCATTATTAAAGAGTATTGTACGAACTCGATAAAAATGAATTATAGAACTCATGACTGTACTACGGTGTGCGGACAATTGTGTACGGTTTTGTTATACGCACAAATTATTATGCACAGTAACATAGCGTAATATGCGCTAGATGAACTCTGATTTGCGCCATATTATTGTGCACAATAATTTATGTGTACAATAAAAACGTGCACAATTGTCCACATGTCTGCACTACTAATACCATGTTTACTCGTTTTAATGGTGCACATAATTCAAGACTTTAGCTAAAATAAAAATTTTATTTGTAAAAAATACCATTAACGTACCGGTTTTCAATGTAGATAACATAAATTAAATTCGTCTTACCAGTAGAAGATGAAATTGTAAATATATTTAATGTCATTGTAATGAATAATATCATGTCATCAGATAAAAAGGGCAATGGTTCATATATATACAGAACCATATATATTTTTATATTCCTATTTTAAAAAATCAAAAATTTGATCGCAATTATTAATAAAAAATGTGAAAATATTCGGACTAGAAATTTTACATGCTAATACAGCGTCAGAGACTTTTTTTGTTTGGAGTTTCTGTCTCATTTATAGAATTTTGTTACATTGATCTGTACGGACCTTGCATTTTGAGAAATTGAATAACGAGTGAAGGCCCACCAGCAACAATTTCAGGTGGTATTTGTGATAAAGGACAATTTTCAATTGACATAATGTTAAGATTAGTACAGAGTGCTAATTCAAAGGGTAAATTATGAAGACTTGGATTATCATTAACATATAGAGAAGTGAGATTCTCAAGAGTACCAATTTCTTCAGGAAGATAACTTAAACTATTTTCACCTACACTTAAATGTGTAAGGTTTGTTAAGTGGCCTATAGCACGTGGTAAAGAAGTGATTTGATTTGACTGTAAAATCAGTTTTTGCAAATCTCTGAGAAATCCAATTTCATTTGGTAGAGATTCTATCTTATTTTCTTCTAAATCAAGCACTCTGAGTTTACTCAAATTAGCTATACTGGCAGGGATGCGCTTCAACATATTATTAGAAAGTATTAATATTTCAAGATTCTGCAAGTACTGTATATCATCAGGAAGTTTAACGAGTTGGTTTGTGCCTAAGTTTAATTCTACCATACTAGTCCATGTTCCAATATCAAGTGGCAAGGCAGTTAATTGATTTTCCTTCATATTCAACTTTGTCAAATTCTTGGCTCTTGAAAAGATACCATAAGGTATCTTGTCAATTTTATTATGTTCAAGATTGATTGAATAAACATTTGTGAATTGTGAAGGTCCTCCAGATGGATAAGCCATAAATGAATTTCTGGACAATGTTATTGTTTTTAAGTTTGATAAACTTGAAAGCAGTCCATCTGGTAGTTGGGAAACTTGGTTACCCTCAACACTAAATTCATCCATTAATTTACAATTAGCCAGTGATTTTGGGATAGATGACAGACGATTGTACCTCAAACCTAATCTAGTTACAGACACAAGATTACCAATTGTTTCAGGTATATCCAAAAGCTCATTGTGCTGTAAATCAAGAGTAGATAACTGGATGCAGTTACCAATTTCTTCTGGTAAATGTTCCAAGTGATTATGCGAAACATCAAATGTGACAAGATTAGTAAGTTTGCCAATACCAGCAGGAAGCTCTTTAATTTTATTTTCTCTCAAACTAAGCATTGTAAGATTTGTTAAATTGCGTATGTTATCGCTAACATATTTAACTCTATTAAATCGTAAAAATAATGTTGTCAATGAGGTTAATTTATAGACAACTTCGGGTATCTCATTCAGCTTATTGTGCCTCAGATCTAAAACCTTGAGCTGTTTTAGATTTTCCAGTGAGTCTGGTAAACTTGTCAATGAATTTTCACTTAGAGCAAGAGTTTTCAAATTTCTTAAACATCCTATCTCAAGAGGAAGAGTTACTAGTTTATTACCATAGAGGTAAAATTCAATCAGATGTGTGAGATCCTTAACACTGCTTGGAAGACTTGTTATACTTGATTTGCTTAGGTCAAGCCTCTTTAAACCTTCATCTCTGCATCTTACAAATTCTTTGGATACATCTAAATCCGCTTGTATGGGTTTACCTTTTTTTGTTGTTGGCTTGGGTTTGTTTGATTCGGGATGTTTTACAGTTACAGTTTTTTTGGTATCACTGCTGGATATAGAGGTTGTAGATAGCTTTTTTTCCTTGGGCTGTTCTTTGACCTAGACAAGTAAGTCAAATAGAGTAATAATGAAAATAAAATATACTTAGTCCAGATTTCAAAGCAATAAAATGTTTAATTTCCAAAAGTTTCAAGCATGAATTGACATGTTTTAACAGTTAAAAAAGAACAGAAACGAATGAACTACATTTTGCTACTATGAGGGTAGTTAAATATAAGTTTGAGCATGAACAAATATGTATCAGTAGGTTGGGAATAACGTTACAAGAGAGATAGCTAATGATACTATAAATCTAACCTGGTTAGTTGGGGCAGAAGCTTCTTTAAGAAGATCACATGCCTCAGGCATATTGTCGGAGGCTGTAGCGGACAATCCGCAGCCCTCGAGGTATTCCGGGATGTCCTGCTCCTTCATGTAAACGCTCAGACGAGCGACTCGGTAAGCTTTACCTGGTAATATTTTGTTACTTGTCACCTGCGCACTCGAGTTCTACTTTGATCAGTGACTGTAAACTTGTGAAAGGCCGATCGGACGCCAACTAAAGCCGGGATACTGCACCAGGATATATAAATAGAGTCCACGTAAGGCTGTGGCCTTCGAAGCCTCCGATGACAGAAACGACTTTGGTGACTACGACAAGGATGAGGATCCTGGATAAAAATTTTTTTTTTGCTCTTCGTTCTCTTCAGTTGTTCATTTTTGGACGTTGATTCACGTAAACAATATTTTTTTCCGTTTTTTCTCAAGGCATTATACGCGTTTTTGCAGTCCTTTATATACACTTCGAGGTAGCCCTAATCAGCCAACCGTGCTTGTTCGCGTATTGTGCCAGCAAAATTATTAATATAGTATCAACAAGGCACTAGTCCTCACTGCCCAGTGCCCACTGCTGACTGGTCGCCACTGTCAGTCCTGAGTCTTCAGTCTTCGGTTCCTTGGAAAATGCTCAGCAGCGGCGCAAACGCAATATGCCGTACCTATAATTTGTACAGTGTAACACACATTCATGCGTGTACTCTATATACTGAGCACTCTATGTGCCTGCATATATGTATCTTCGAGCATATACTAACTGGAGAGATAACATATAAGTAAAGCTCGATGCCATCTTTTTCGCTCCGCATGCGATTGGCTGATCGTGCTTTCCACCAAAATAAAGCCAGTTTCAAACTTTGTAATTGAACTTGATGGAAAATTGGTGTAAGTATAAATAAATTAACAACAAAAATTATTAAGTTACGTTTTATGATTAACAAATATTTGACATTAACAAAAATATTAAACACAAACAGAAATATCATAATACTTATGCTATAAATTACGCCGTTAAAAATAGTTCAATTTTAATCATGATAATGCAGTATTAGTTTTATGAATTTTCTTCAAACCTTTTTCTTCCTTTTAGCTTTCACTGATTTAAATTTTTTTGACTATATGTGAAAATCCTTTATAATAATTATCTTAATCAACTGAGATCGATGATGAGATGGATCGTCAGAGTGATGTATATGTAAAAGCTCTTTTGGTACCAGCGATGAAATGTATAGGTGCATATCTCAAAAATAACTTTATTAGATTATATTTAGCTCTAAAAATACGTTCTAGTATTTGACACAATCGAAAAATATAGACTTTTCTTTATTAAACCACTTTTATTTTTTACGTCTAATAAAACTAAATTTCTTATCTTACTTGTTAATACTAACGGACATTAAAAACATTTCATACGTATCAACATTTTTCTTGTCGCGAACCAGCGATTAGTCCAACAACGTCATCGATGTATTTCTTATTTGTTCCAGCTTAAAAATCTGGATCATTAAAATCAATCAAATTTATATTGAATCTTTCATTGGCATCGGTTTAAGTTTGCATCAATTGTGTCAAATAGTTATTTAAAGATTTCCAGGTGCCTTCCGGAACTTATAGTAATTTTATATTAACCAAAACTTTAAAAAATTAAAAATTTAAACCAAAAATTGCCTTTATATGAGCCTTTTATATCCGCATGTCTAACTTCTTAAATGCGTTACAAAACTGATAACAGGTAGGATTATTGTTATTTCCTCTGTTTCTTATTGTATTAAAAAATATCTTCAAATGGTCTTATAGAACTTATATGTTAATAAGTATAAACTTTTTAAATTAGTAAGTTTAAAATATTTCTCATAAATGTTTACTACATTTTGTAATGATATTATTAATCCTTGAAAGCCAACTTTCTTTTTGGAATAAGCTACTAATTCTCCATCAGCATATCGCAAACCTTTTATAAACGTGATTTCCTCTTCGATGTTTATTTTTATTTCTTCAATGTTTTCAGAAAATATGCCGTTTTCGTTATTGTTTACGTTATATAATTGTTTTCAATTTAATATATCGAAGGCATTGTTCATGGCACAAAAAAATTTTGTTGTACCTTCGATATCAGCAAATTCTTGCAATTTTAATTCATCGCATGCATATATAGCAAAAATTTGTACACCCTATGACTCAAAGTTTGAACAGCATTTCTGACATTCTTTTTATTATCCTACCAATTTTTATGTTCCTCAGTTAAATTATTACCAGCATTGAGTTGATATACTGTTTGAAACTTAATTAATTTTTTACATATCAGGTCCACTTGCAAATGCATTACGAATTAATTTAAAACCATGACATCCATTAAATATTAAATAAACATTTTTCTTTTGTAACGGGATGCGAAAAAAATTATTCATTAGATCTTTTCATATAGCACAATTAGCTTAATTGTAAACCATCACAAATGTTATTGAAGTTACTAGTGTGACGGCCAGCCGTAACTTAGTTTTTTTTATATTAATTTAATTATTAAATATGAGGAACGGTGTGGGAACCTTCCTGATTTCCCACGATGAAAACGCATTCGAAATAAAGTGTTTATATAAACTTTGATAGTGGCCCGAGCCTGCGTACTCGGCCTTACAGTCGACGCTCTATCCTGCTTTGTCTCACGCGCATGTGTTGACAGGAGCCTACGATCATCGTGTATACATCGTGAAGCGTTATCATGCCGATGAGAGAAGAGGGCCATGAGATCGCGTCTGCATCCTATTCATAATAATATTATCATAACTAATGAATTTTTCCCTTTCAAATTAAATTAGGCATTAGAAATTATGAAATAATATTTTTTGAACTTGAATATTTTGATTTCAACAATATATCAAAACTAATTTTGGCCTCTCAAAACCTCTTATCGAGTTTTCGCTCCGGAGCTTAGTTTAAGCAGAAAATAGAAAAAAATAAAAAATATATTAATTTGAATGAATTTACTGTTATTTAGCGAACTTTTATTATAAGAAATTAATCTACGAATTTATACAACATGGCGTGCGAGATAACAAGCATCGCTCTATTTTTATTATATTTTATTATTAGATAATTATTGATAACTGTATTTTGCGGTGAATTTAATTATAATATTGATTGTTAATATAAGTAGTGTATAAGTTATGTATTGGTCGATTATGGTTGTTCCAACTTCAATTAATTAATAATTACGAAATTTTTAATTAATCTTGGCTCCGAATGATACTTGAAGAGCCATCTTACGAGCTAAGGCCTGTACTCTTGCGTCCGCGCTCTCGATTTTCTCCACGCCCCCGCTCCAATCAGGGCCTGAAAATCCAACGAGGAAAATCAGAAGAAACAAACGGACCAATTAACACATCATTGCCTGCTCCACTCCTCCCAAAACCGAGAGGCTAAGAGAGGGACTCATCACCCAAACACCCACCTAATATAAAAAGGGCTGCACAAGACCCAGAGAGGAAGTTCAAGTCCTAAAGGTTATTAGAGAAGTGCTAGAAAAGTAGTTGGAGTTGCAGTTGCAGTTGTTCCCATAGTTGTCAGTTATCGTAGTGTGAGTACAAAACAGATATTGAGTACCAGTGAGTGAGTGCTGAAGGAAGCACAAGGATAAGTCAACCAAGAAGTAAAGCAGCCAAGAAGACAAGAAAATCAAGAAAAGATTGAAGGAAGCATGGGAGTCCGTGAACCAAAAGTCTAGACAAGAAGAAGTGAACGAAAGAGCCAAGCAGCCAAGCAGCGAAGTAGCAAAACAGATAATATAAAAAAAAAGATCGACCAATACAGAATAAAGACCCGCAAATTAACAGTGTCAAGTTTTCAATAAAAAAGAGTAAGCAATCAAAATTTTTATTTTTTTTAACTTATCTATCTCTCCTCTCTTTTAGAAGTATTGGTCGCAAATCAAAAATTTTCCCTTTGTAGTATTCGGAGACTACTTTTGATAGGCTCCAAATACAATTTATATTAGGAAAACCGGGATCTACTATTGATAGGACCCAGGGTACTTCCCGCTCTCGGATTACAACTATTGATTGTCCCTTTCGGTGTTAATAATTTTCGAATAGTGATCCCGCTAGTTTATGCGAGAAATCGTAGACTAGCAACAACAGAACCCTGAGACTACGCCAAGCCTCAAGTGCACCTGAGATGTGCCGTTGCCACGACGTCACACTAGGATGTCAGTTTCATGTAAAACGATTAGATTTTGGTTTTTTCCACTTAATTTCACAATGAAATGATATGACATGGGTACTTTGAATTTTCTATTTTCACATACAATCATGGTGACTAAAGCATTTGTTGCTACAGAAGTAGGAATCGTATCTATATTGGTTCCTCGATACATGTAATTGAATTCTTTATCGTTTATAATTTCAATATTTTTTTATGTCTCTTTCATCCATAATCAAATTGTATAGTACCGGTTTAACTTTTTTTTTACTTACTGAACTTTGTCTTTCAAAGTCTCAAACGAACTTAATTAATTCCTGAAGTACATTCTATTTATATACACCATTTTGAAATAGTTAGTATATGTAGTAAACACTTAACAAAACATCTCTAATGGAATCGTAAGCTTTAGGAGAATAAAATGTAAAGTTGTAACAAATTTTTTTAAACAACATAGGAATTACCATTTTTGTCTACGTCTTTCCAAAATACGTTATAATTTCTCTTGCTTCTTAAGGTACAGAATCTCATAAATCATAAATAAATGAATAGACGGAAAAACTTCTGGTTTTTCTTGTTCTATTTGTAGATTAATCATGCTATGAGGTAAAAAAATATGGTACGGTAAAGAAGTGTTTCATATTAATTTAAAATTTAATGTACGCATCAATTTTAATACGTTATTAGAAAAAAGGTAAATTGTGTATAACAAATTATTTGTATATAGTAAGTTGTATATTTCAATATATATCTGTATGTATAAATAAAATTATAAAATATATTATACTTATCTAAGTACAGTAAGTAAACATTTTTAGTAAAAATATTTGTTTAATATGAGGTATGTAGAGCAGATTATATAATTTTTATAAAGTATCGCCTTTTTTAGTAGGTATTATTCTGCTTCAGTTTATTTTTGATTAGTTATAATTGTCAAAGTTAGTTATGTAAAATAAGGCTCGATAAAAATTTGTCTTATAATTAATTTATACAAATGAGAATCCACAAATTCAATTTTGTAGCGTTACTATCTTAATATCATTCTTTTCCACTAAACTACGTGAACTAAGAAACTCAAAATGAATAGATCATAAAGTAAATTGAAATATTTTCCAAAAATTCCAAAAAATTCTAGTTTTTTAAGGTAAGATAATAAGCTATTACAGTTTTTAAATCTTTTCCTAAGCTTTGACGACTTAGTGCTACAAGATTTATGCAATTCTACAACTTCTTTTTGTTCATTTCTTAATAGCCTCAAGACCAAAGATTTATTATCAAAATCAACAAAATTTAAATCTTTATTGACTATTGATTTTTTGAGTATTTTCTGTGGAAATGGATTTAACAAAGAATAGTTAGCCTTCACATCGCTAAAAAAATTAATGTTAATAATAATCACTTTGCAAAACTGTCTTATATGACAAAATCTTATTAAAAAATATTACTTAGCAATAGTTTGATTATTAGAT